TTGTGAATTCCCCTCATAACAGAGGATTCAAAAGTAATGGAGAGGTCTCAGTAAATTAGCATTCTTTTATGATCAATTTTAATTAATCATTTAAGAAAGGCAATGTATACTACATATATCATATGGAAGAATTCATCACAGTGTCACTTGCTTATAATAAAAAATAACCCTTATCATCATAAAAGCTCCTTAAGATGGAGGAGGGAAAGCTATAAAAAGAGACTGGATGGAGAAAAAAGGAAAAGAGACGGATGGAAAGAAAATAGATGATAAAGACAGGGAGGCATTGTAATATTTAAATGCTAACGGTGTGCCTATCTTTGTTCACTTATCATGCTTGACAGTGCAAACGAACAACAGAATGAAGAAAGGCACAGTATGTTAAATTATTATGGATATGTCAGATAAGCAGTTTGTCTGATGTTTCTATCTCTGCTGGAAGGCTGTGTGACCTATTCTTTAGAGTCAAAGATAAACTCCAGCAATTGTGTAATTCCTCCCACTCTGATAGAGATAAATATGTTCATATTTTTTCCAACTAATCTTCTTTGTTGGATGATAACATAAGGCTGCATCCATATGACATGCAAAGATTCAAGATGTCTGGACAAGCATCCAACACTCTGTAAAACTGTCAGCCCCTTGGGTCATGTTTAATCGTTAAGATTAAACAAGTTTGTTGCAAGTTAATACAAGAATAAATCCATAAACCTGGATCCTCTAAGGCAGTGGTGCCAATCCTTTGTTGCACAAAAAAATTGTAAGGAAACGTTTTTTAAAGTGCTGATATGCAGACATGAATGAAGACATATTGAATCATTCTCTCTGGGTATGGCATCTGGGCATCAGCATGTTTTCTAAGAGCTTCTGAAGTTATTCTAAAAGTGTAAGCAGATTTGAGAACTATTGTCTTAAAGCTTTTGAGAATGATAGGTGTGTTCAAATCTGGTAAGATTTCAAACAAATCTCAGATTTCCTAAGTTTTACAGAGCATTTTGAGTCAGTGATTGAGTTAAAAAATATGTTTAGACAGATCAATAATGAGTAAGGAGATTCAATCAGTAACCAAAAACCTTCCAACAGATAAAAAAACAGGACCTGATGGCTTTATTGGTGAATTCTAATAAACATCTAAAGAATAATTAATGTCAATCCTTCTCAAACTCTTCCAAAAGGTTGAAAATGATGGGCACTTCCAAAGTCACTTTACAAGGCCAACATTACCCTGAGGCCAAAGCCAGACAAAGATACAACAAGAAAAAAATTACAGGTCAATATTCCTGATAGATATAGATGTAAAAAGTCTCAATAAAATACTAGCAATCTGAATTCAATAGCAATTTAAAGAATCACGCACCATGATCAATTAAGATTTATCCCAGGGATGCAAGGATGGCTCAACATATGCAAATCAATAAATGTAATATACCACATTAACAGAATGAATGATAAAAATCATATGATCATCTCAATAGGTACAAAAATAATTGAAGAAATTAAACTCCCTTTTATGTTAAAAACTCTCAACAATTTAGGACTAATCCTCAACATAATGAAGGCCATATATGAAAGCCCATAGCTAACATCATACTCAGTGGTGAAAAGTGACAAGTTTTTCCACTAAGATCAGGAACAAGACAAGGATGCCCAATCCTACTATTTCTATTCAATACAATACTGGAAGTAAAGGTATCCAAAAAGGAAAGAAAGAAATAAAATTGTCTCTGTTTGCAGATGCCATGAACTTATATATATAGAAAACCCTAAAGACTCCACCAAAAACTGTTGGAACTAATAAACAAATAAGTAAAGTTGCAGGATACAAAATCAATATTTAAAAGTCAGTTTTTTTCCTCTCCACTAACAACAAATTATTCCAAAAAGAAATTAAGAAAATAACTCCATTTCCAATAGCATCTAAAACAAAAATAAAATACTATGGAATAAGTTTAATGAAGGAGACAAAAGATCTATACATTGAAAACTATAAAATATTGATAAAGAAATTGAAGAAGACACACATAATTGGGAAGATATCCTGTGCTCATGAATTGGAAGAATTGATGATGTCAAAAGGTCCATACTACCCAAAGCAATGTAATTCATATTAAAATTCTAATGACATTTTTCACAGAAATAGAAAAACAATACTAAAATTCATATGGAACATAAAAGATCCTGAATAGCCAAAGCAATCTTGAGAAAAAGAACAAACCTAAAGGCATTATACTACCTGATTTCAAAATATATTACAAACGATAATAATCAAAACAGTAGGATACTACCATAAAAATAGACATACAGACCAATGGAACACAAAAGGGAGCCAAGAAAAAAAATCCAAGCATTTATGGTCAAGTGATCTTGGCAAAGATGCCAAGAACACATATGGGGAGAGAATAGTCTCTTCAATAAATGTTGTCAACACAACTTAATATCCACATGCAGAATAATAAAATTGGACCTTTATCTCACACCATATATAAAAATCAACTCAAAATGAATTAAAAACTGAAATATAAGACCTGAAACTGTAAAACTGCTAGGAAAAAAACATAAAGAAAAAGCTTCTTGATGTTGGTCTAAGCAATTATTTTTTTGGATATGAACCCCAAAACACAGGCAACAAAAGAAAAAAAATACATGAATGGGATTACATCAAACTAAGTCTTCTGCACAACACAGGAAACAATCAGAGAGTGACAAAGTAGCCTACAGAATGGGAGCAAATATATGCAAACCATACATTTGATAAGGAGTTAATATATAAAAATATAAGGAATTCAAACAACTCAATAGTAAGAAAATGAATAAGCTAATTTAAAAATGGGCAAAATACCTGAATAGACATTTCTCAAAAGAAGACATACAAAGGGCCAGCGGACATATGAAAAAATGCTCAACATTACTGATCACCAGGGAAATGCAAATTAAAACCACGAGATAGCACCCCATACTTGCTAGAATGGCTATTGTCAAAAAGACTAAAGATATAGGTTTGCTAATCAGCCTGATTATGGCAATCATTTTATAGTGTATACATATATCAAAACATCATATCATATACCTTAAATCTATACAATTTTTATTTGTCAATTATTCTTCAATAATGGTGGAAAAAATATGTTAAAAATTGAGACATTAAAAAAATCAAAGAGCAAAAGTAGAAGGATTGTGAAGGAAACACCTGTGAAGATAAGACACTGAGCTCAATTCAGCAAATGATTATCTGAGCACCTACTAAGTGTAGCAGGTTCTATTTTGGTTGAATGATAAACATTCATAAATAAGGTGAATAAATGATCTCACTAGATAGGATGATTTCACCAATGATAGTGACCGACATTTACATAAACCTCCTTAAGATAGGATGAAATGAGCACAGTGTATGTCATAGGGAATGTAGGCAAGTGTTAAGGAAAATATTTTCACAATAAGAGTTATCAACCCTTGGCCAGGTGTGGTGGCTCAGGCCTGTAATCCTAGCACTCTGGGAGGCCAAGGTGGGAGGATCACTTGAGGTCAGAAGTTTAAGATCAGCCTGAGCAAGAGTGAGACCCTATCTCTACTAAAAATAGAAAAAAATTAGCTGGGCACCTAGTGGCATGAGTCTGTAGTTCCAGCTATTCAGGAGGCTGAAGTGGGAGAATCGCTTGAGCCCAGGAGTTTGAGGTTGCTGTGAGCTAGGCTGACACTATGGCACTCTAACCTGGACGACAGAATGAGACTGTCTCAAAAAAAAAAAAAGAATCTTCAAGGCTTAAATAGAAACCACTGAAGATTGTGACTCTTCTGCACTGGAGTGTATAAAAGTCAAGTAGAAGCACATCTGTCTGACAGAGCCACAGCGTGTTATAGCTTTACCATCATATGATTTTGATGTGGTTTCTGTTCCCAAGTTTCAATTTTCCCAAGTCCCCCAACTATCTAATGCTACCTCCTTATTTATTAAGCAAAGAGGAAATTCAACTTGTTAAGTCTGAATCAGGATCTGGGCTCTATTCTCTCTACACTTCGTTATATTATCATGTACATTTAGCAATGATCTAGAGCTAGTGAGTTTGCTACTGTCATTCATTTCATTTTCACCTGGAAAAATGCATACAAATAGAATGAAATAATGTTTTAAAACTTGCTTGAAGAACTGAACCTATACTTTATGTCACCTACAGATTAAAGAAGCTTTCATGAGGAATATTGGCAAGACTTTAATTGCGATTGGGGCATTTTTTTTGTCTCCACTTTTTAAGGAATTAAAAGGACCTTATAGATAAATTAGTCCTTATTATTAATATATTCCCAAATGAAAGAGGGTGTAGATGTTCCATTGGATCTTATTATGTGCTTTTTTTCTCATTATTCACTCATTCAAAAAATATATATTATGCTACCACTGTGTGTGAAAGACTGTATTAGATGCTGAAAATACCACTGAGAAAAAATAATCTAGTGAAGACAAACAGACTGTAAACATATAAATAAGTAATGCTGTCTGCAAACAAGTCCCATGATTAAAATTAATCAGAGTGCAGGGATAGAGGGTCAGGAGTTGCAATTGTATTTTAGGTGGACAAAGAGAGCCTCTGTGAGAATATCACCTTGGGCATAATCCTGAAGAAGTAAGGGGGCAAACACTTTTCTACTAGATATTTCAGAGGAATAGCTAGAGGACACAGCAAGAATGAAGACAAAGCAGGGGAGCATTAGTGTACTGGGGAAGTTGTGAGAAGGGATAAAGCTGGAGAAGTGGGTGTGGTGGATGTGACGGGATGACTCACTTCTCCAACATATTTCCATGTGGTAAAATCAGCCCTCTTCTTCTGTACTCTATCCCTGACTCAAGCCCTAAAAGCAGGTATTTGAGAAGGACTTAGAGCTCCTAATTTTAATATGACAAAGTCTGAATAGAAGGATTCATGTATCAGTCAGGGGCCTTGCAGGAAACAAAGCACACTTTACTAGAATGGTTAGGAGGAATTAGAGAAGGAAATACTTACAGAGGAGTAGGCACCCAGAGGCTAGGGCAGTAGGAAACCACCACCTGAAAGGTAAGGGAAGGAAATGATGTTACAAGAGTCTAGGAGGAACTGTGGCCATGCAAGAGGGGTCACTCAACAGCAGCTGTAGTTGTGGATTAGGCAGCCCCTGCCAGATTGGAGGGCCAGAGGGGAAGGAATGGAGGATGCAGTGCCCAACCCCTCTCTCCTCCCACCCTCCTGTCTCCTGTCAGTGCCCCCCATTGGCCCAATCCACCTGGAAGCCAGAGGGCCAGGAGTCCTGGTAATTTACTCTATAGGGCTCCACATTCTCAGAAGAAGAGTAGAAAGTGGATTCGGGTTGGGGGAAAGAGACAAATAGAGAAATGCTAGCACACTCTATAAGACTGTATTTCATTTATATTTTGGGGGGATTTTAGTACAGAAGCAATTACAGCAGCAATAGTTAAAAAGAATCAAGTAAACATGTAAATACATTACAACTTGTAAAGAGTCATAAGATATTCTTCTATTCATTAAAAATTCAAATGGCTATGAAGCTTCAAAGCAATTCAGACATTTTTAATCTACTACCCCAAAGATGGGATTTGTGTACATGTACAGGCCATTTTTAAAATTGTACATTTATCTATGCCAATTATATTGTCTTGAGGGTTTGAAGAAATTGCTATTCTGTACAAGTGAGTAGTCTCAGATATTACTTGCTGATCTTTATTCCAGACTTCAAGTACTTTTTGGAGGGCCAGATGCACGCAACTCTGCCTCACTCTTGTTATCTAACAAGAAGCCATATATCTGATTATTCTGTGACAGACAATGATCTCTGCACATTTCCCACTAGCCTTCAAGGCTGTTGTGTTGCCTGAAGCTTTGGAGCTTGGTGTCAAAATTCCACTTTCAAAATGTTCATTTGGAGGCTATTGAAAATCAGAGATGATGTCAATTTACACATGTTCACAATAGTCACTAGAGAGGGTTGGCTGATAAGGATGTGAAGTGAATTGTACTATTATATCTGAGGCTGTGATTTCAACCAGACAGCATAAAACTTGCCTTGGCAAAAAAATCATTGAGAATGTTATCTGTTCTTCTAATTCTAAGACTATTCTAATATTTTTTTATATTTTACAAGCCTTTATGTGAACGTTAATTCAAATGATTTGCTGAACTGCTTCCTATCAATGGAGGTTCTCTTTGTGCATTATTTAATGATGCAGGATAAGAAATGATGCAGGATAAGAAAATAAGGTGAAATGTTCCTTTTTCTCCAGAGTCAAAGGAACAGCTGAGATAAGGACACTTCTTTCCCAGTAACAGGGCTGATATTACCAGCACACAATCCCGGAGTTAGGAATCATCAGTACATTCGTTGCCACTCTGTGTTAAGTAATATACCTCCCCATTCCAGGGTATAAAAGCAGAGAAAAAAACAGCTAAAGGAGAAAATTGGAATTGAATGACAACTTAGTCTTTATCAACCTGCTTTCAAAGATAACGTTAAAAAATCTACAGAACATTTGAAGCAGAAAAGACTTGTTGACAGAAAAGACCCAATGGTCTTGACTACCCCAAAAAAGAATTTTGGAGCTAGAAGAAAACAGTTGAGTGTCACTAATGCCCCTCACTTCACTAGAGAGGACACTGGAGCTGATAGAGATTGAACACTTGGTTTATATACCATAAAGCTAACTGATATTAAAACCAAACTAAGTTCAGCCTTCCTAGAAGAAGAGCCTGAGAGAGGGATTCAGACGCATGGAATTTACTGAGGGAGTGCTCTCAGGAGATACCTGTACCTGAATGAGGGATGAGAAAGGAGAAGAGAGAAAGAGCCCAGCAAGGATGTGGTCACAGGTAAGGCTAACTTTGGCCTGATCCATGAGGGTACTGAAGCATAAGCGCACTGCAGAATTGACCCCAACTCAAGGCAAAGGGGTTGCACTGTTGCAACCTATATGCAACCCCTATATCCAATAGGCGATTGGATATAGGTTACCTGGAGGTGGGGGATAGGCATAAGTTCCTCAGTGAGGTGGCCTTCAGGGCAGCTGTAAGCCATTTGCAGCTGACTCTGAAATTGAGGGGTGGTGTACCAACCCAGTAACGGAATTCTGGGCAGGGCACCAATAGCATCTTCCAAGGAGTCAAAATTTGAACTCAGGTCTGCAGATTCCTGCAAACCTCCTTTATAGTATATCATGTTGTTCAAAGCATAATTTTTTTTTCCTCCTACTCATCATACCTTCGCTCAACTTCTAATGTTTTCTTCCCTCTCATCCATTATAATAGTAGTAATAGCAAGCAAGATAAAACAAGTTGATCCAAATTCATTTCTTCCTGCCCCTTTGTTTTCTCAGCTGCTCAGATTTGTGAGAAGCGTTGTTCAGTGTCTCTGATGACATCAGGGCACTGTTTTGGCATGCTGTGCTATTTTGTATCCTTGTATAAGTATGGATTTGGGGATTGTGTCAATAATGATAAATCATAAATTCACTTTCTCGGCCTGGGTGTCCAATCTCCTACTTCTTCCTCAACAGAAGGCATTGAACAAAGTATTTAGACCAAACAAATCCACTTAAAAAAAAACTCACTGAAAATGCAAGGATAATGAAAATAAAAAGCTAGACCACAGGGAAAGATCCAAATAATCACACACCTTAAATAGCAGAAGTCTGTGAATTCATGCTGGCAGGCCTAAGTAGGTCACCTAATCGGTTGTTTACTGTGCTGTTGGATATGAAGCATGATAAAGTAAGCAGGGAAGAAACCATGTGAACTCCATCTCCATAACAACAGAGAAGAGAACAATTACAAGAGACCCTGGCCAGCCACCTCCACAAAAGCAGTTTTAACCTCAGAGCAATCAGGAGTGACATAGCAAACTACTGCTGATGTCTGAACAACACAGGGCATTGAGCCAGATGAAAACTTTTCCTTTTCAGAGGACTGAAGACTTTGATCCATGGACAAATTTGCTGAACCAGCTGAAACTTTGAAGAAACCAAGCTAACTAATACAAGAATAATGTAAGACAGTAAAATGAGAATTTTAAAAGTGATTTAATTGTAATATATATTATATTAAAAATGAGACAAGATATACTAGTATATATTAAGAGATTGGTGCATTGTCAAGATCTGTATTATGAAGGATACGTTTTGTCTTAGACCTGGTACTATAAATGGTAACTTGATATTAAGGTCTATATAATACTTTGAAATTAACTTTTGTTCCTTTTCTTATCTTACTGAAAATATAAAAATATTTGAGCTGAATTAAACCTTTAACTCCAGGCTGGGCATGGTGGCTCACACCTATAATCCTAGCACTCTGGGAGGCCAACAAGGGCGGGGGAGGATCGCTTGAGGTCAGAAGTTTGAGACCAGCCTGACCAAGAGGGAGATCCCATCTATACTGAAAAATAGGAAAAAAACATTAGCCAGGCATGGTAGTGAACGCTTGTAATCCCAGATACTCGGGAGGCTGAGGATTGCTTCAGCCCAGGAGTTTGAGGTTGCTGAGGTGATGCCATAACACTCCAGCCCAGGCAACAGAGCGACACTCTGTCTCAAAAAAAAAAAAAAACACCTTTAACTCCATTTTTTCAAGTCATGATTATTTTCCCTAGATAGTTTCAATACTTCTCTTCAACAAACTTTTCAAATCAATCTAGATAATTGTTCCATATTTATTTTTTTAAATGCACAGAGAAACTTGTTTGGGCAATTTGTTTATAGAGATTTCTGCCAGAGGATTAAAAATTGTGTATTTTTGCATGAAGTCACCCATTGTGTCCAACTAATCTGCTTTTTAGAAAGTATGATCCTGGGACATTTGAACTTTGTAATCCAATGTATTTAATGTCAGTAACTATATCTCAGCCCCTAATAAATTCTTCTCAAAAGGATTCAAACTTCTGAGGATCATCTTCTCTCCTTCCCTCCAAACCCAGTCCTTTATTATTTGAACTTCTTTAGGCAGAAAAGTCCCATTGTCCCAAGGTCTGGACATCTCCAACTCCAACCAAGTTCTACAGACTATCAATAAAACAGTTTGCAAAGGAGTGGAAAATCATCATTCAAGAAAACTTTCCTAGCTTGGGTGGATATAGCCAAAGAGGATTTGGATGTCTATCTCTACAAGTCAAAATTTATGCCAGGAAGGCACTCAACAATCTATATGTAAATTCATTCTAAGCACTTAATTAATTTATTCCCAACATCTGGAACACTATTCATTTCGTTTTATTCTTTGCAACATATCTAATTAAATTAAGAAATCATAATTTAGGGTAGCCTATTGTGAAGAGATTTGATGCAATATAATCAGTCTTTAGAAGAGGCCTGCTCCTGGTCACCTTTATTGCCCTTTCAAGAACATCAAGGCATTACCTGGAGTGGTTAAGACCACAGCTGGTGATGCTGGGTTGGAAGCCCAGCCCACGGCCCCAGCCCCATCACTAACTAGGTATGAATTTAGTGAATTGCTGAAACTTCCTAATTATTGACTTCCCTATCTTTAAAAGGGGCTCATAACAATAGTAATTACCTCACCGGGCACTACTGCAGATCAGATGAGTTCTGTGAGCAATGCCCTTTGCCCTGTGCCTGACGCAGTATATGGTCAACAAATGAGTGCTTTTTATCATGTTTGAAAAGGAAGCAGTAAAATATTTTTACTCTGCAGTGCTCTGTTAACAAAATGTAACTGTAAATCTAAAGTTGAATGGAAATGCTCCTATCCATGAAGACTTTTGATTTTAAAAGATAAAATTGATTCTATTTTCCTTGCATAAAACCCTTCAATGATCCCCGTAACTTTGCCCAAAATGTGCAAATCTCTTGTTACAATACACAAACTCTTTCATCTTCACCCCCCACCCCCACTCCATATTTCCCCAGCTTTATCTACTATGACTCCTGGCTTGAATAGATGCATCAGCCATATGATACTATTCACAGCACCGTCCTCCCTCAAATAGACCATGCTGCCTATGCTGTCCATGTCCCTGGGCCTTTGTCCAAGCAGTTCCCTCTGTCTGGGA